GGGCGAGATACTCTCGGTAGCTTTCCGGGCTCTCCTAGAGGGGTGGAGGAATCGAACTTGGGTTGGCCATGTTGGCTGCTTGTAAGGCAAACGCCCTACCGCTGTGCTATCGCTCCAGCCCTCCCCCCACACACACACTTTATTTAACCACCAAGGTTTACAAAGTTGTTCATGGTGCATTTGTTAGAGGCATTCAATCCTTATACTTCTATGGCATCTGTTGTAATTTCTCTTCTTTCATTTATGAATTTATTAATTTTTTTCTTTTCTTTTCTCTATGTTACATAAAAGTCAAATTTATCAAATTTATCTTTCATCAAAAACAGTTCTTCATTTCATTGACCTCTTGAAACATTTCTTCTGTTTCTATTTCATTTATTTCTGCTCTGAATTTTACTATTTCCTTCCTTCATACTAAATTGGCTTTATTTGTTCTTTTTCCATTTGTTTTGGCTGCAATGTTAAATGTTTGTGATCTCTAGTTTTTTTTGTTTCTTTTTTTTTGGGGGGGGGGGTGGAGGTCACACCTGGCTGGGGGGGGGGGGTGGAGGTCACACCTGGCGATGCACAGAAGTTACTCCTGGCTCTGCACTCAGGAATTACTCCTGGTGGTGCTTGGGGGACCATATGGGATGCTGGGAATCAAACCCAGGTTGACCGTCTGCAAGGCAAACATCCTCCCTTCTGTGCTATCGCTCCAGCCCCACTCTAGTTTCTTAATGAGGGCCTGGATCTATCAATTTTCCTCTTTTACCACTTTTGCTGCATCCCTTAGATTCTGGTATTTTATGGTTCCACTTTCATTTATCTCCAGCATTATTTTCATTTCTGCTCTTCAATTTCCTCATTGACCCAGTCATTATCAAGAAGCACATGCCTTGCTTATAATGTTTGCGGTTTTTACCATTTTAATTTTATGAGTGAGTTCTAAGTGTGGCCAGAGAAATATATTCTTGGGGCAGGAGCAATAGCACAATGGGGAAGGAACTTGGCTTGCATGCAGCCAACCCAGCTACAATCAATCTGTGGCGACCCATGTGGCTCCAAGCCACCAGCAGTGATCCTGGGCATAGAGTAAGTAGTAAGCCCTAAGCACAACCAGATGTGGCCCAGAAATAAACAAAGGAAAACAACTAAAATAGATACGATTCCAACCTACTTTCTTCCAATTTTACAAAGCACATTCATGAAAGTGTTCTGAAAACCTTGCCTGGATTCCCTCAGGACCAAGCCATGAAGAGAGGGTTCCGACCTCACACGCCACCTTTTCATGATCCCCAGGTTTCGTCAGAGGGGTGATATTAGACATATTTCTTCAGAGGAACGATATTGAGTCGCTTGCCTTTTTCTCTGCTTTCACTGTGCCTGTTTTGACTGAAACTTCCATTTAGAAGGTCACCTGAAACCAAAGCGTCTCTTTCTTCTAATTCCCTCATCCTCAAGGGGACACCAAGCCTTCCTCATGACAAATGTTTTTCAAGGAAACAGCTGAAAAATGCAGATTTTGTGGCTAAGATAATGGTTTCTAGGACAAAATTTAGTAGATGTGAGCTGATTAAAGTAAGGATTTATTCACAGCAACTGTTTTGCTTGTGCTTCAGAGAATTATTAACATAGGCACAGGGTGGTATTTCTTACCTGGCTTAAACCACACACAGTAAGTAAATGGGCTATGCATTTCTTTGGTAAGAGTCTTTTGTGATTACCTTCAGAAATACATTTATTTTCTGATAATTCCATTTGCCATTTTGTTTATGAAGCAATATGAAGGCTATTTATACAATATTTGTCTGTACCAGCTAAGGGAGAAAGCTTAGAGGGTGGGTGGAAACTGGGGACTTTGGTGGAAGGAACGTCACAATGGTGGTGAAACTGGTGTTGGAACATTGAATGCCGGAAACAACTACATTACGAACAACTTTGTAAATCACAGTATTTAAATTCCTAAAAGTTTAAAAATAAAATGTTTACATTAAACAATGAATCATCTCCCCAAAGCAAAATAAGAAAGTGGGCTACTAAGGTAAACAAAATTTGAAAAGATTCCAGTTTATGAAACTTCAATTGAGGTCACAGTCATTCAAGTTTCCATTTCCTTTAACTAGGTCAGTGTTTGATTCCAGAAGCCTTTTTTTCAATCTTCTCTTTTAATTCCTGCTCCACCAGATTCCCTTTTTCAGTTTCAAGTAACCTACTTAATTAGGATTTGGAACCCACACACTGAAAGTGTGCTGTCTTCATTCTATTTTGCTCAACCAACCTTATTAATGAACTGAATTTCTAATTCAGCTTGTTAAAAACCAGACACCTTCCACAGTTCCAAAATCCAAATATCCCAGTTAATTATACTCATACGTATAATATTCATACATGAGTATATTTGCTATAGGCTCCTGAATGAACATTCACGTATGGCCTCGGCCAAAGCACTGGGTCAGATGTCAGGTCACTTGTTACCCCCACTCAGCTGCTGACAGTATTTAAATTCCTAAAAGTTTAAAAATAAAATGTTTACATTAAACAATGAATCATCTCCACAAAGCAAAATAAGAAAGTGGGCTACTAAGGTAAACAAAATTTGAAAAGATTCCAGTTTATGAAACTTCAATTGAGGTCACAGTCATTCAAGGGGGTCTTGCCACTCCTAACTTTCGTGAGCCTCAGTGAGTCTAGACTCTGGCATCCTTTACTGAAATCTCAGGATTGCTGATCATCTTTTATCTACCGGGAATTCTGCCACAAAGAAGGAAAGGGAAAAACACAGTATGAATTAATATTGCCCCGTCATCAGAAATTGTACACTGGGACTGGGGAGGGAACTCAAAGGGTTGCTTCAAATTTGATGTCCAGTACTGTATGCTCCCACTCCCAACACAATAGATCCTCCCAGCCACACCAGGTAGAGCTCTGGTAGTTCCCAGCGCCTCTGGGAGAACCAGCACTGAATTAAGTAGTTCCAGAACCCTGAGCACCACTAGAGAAACAAAATTAGTGAAAAATATAGGACAAAACCAAGTGGCATAATTACCTAATTTATCTTTTTTATTTCTCATGATTGGTGCTGTGGCTAACATTATATTAGATGTTCAATTAAGTGGCATGAAAGGAGGGGAAACTGTCCCATGAACATTTGAGAATAGAGGCTATATTCGATGGAGGGGAGTGGAAGGGTTTCACAGGCATTATATTTAAGTTGCTAGTAAAAGGCCATTCAACTTTCAGAGAATCCCTGATACTATCCTCTAATATGATGTAAAATTGTGTCATCATTCAGGGTTCTCCATACTTTGTTCCCCAAATATGGTTCAATCCTTATTTCTCAATTACACAAAATTAAACTATAGTTAGGCCCCAAGATTTGTTCAGCCCCATTTATTACCCATAATTTGCTACTCCCATGCCCCGTTCAAATTCATGCTATTATTCACATTAAATGCCATCCAATCCCAACACAATCCATTTCCTTCAAAACCAACTTCAAATTTATCCTGTTTTATGAAAAAGACATCCATTCCTCCAATCAAGTTGTTTTCTCTTTTTGAAATTTTCCAAGATTGGTTGAATTCAGTGTATGTATCCCTTATCTTTGCGTTAAAGTCAATAAATATATTTGTTTCAAGATAGTCTTGGACATTAGAAACTATATATTCATCGGTATTGCCAAACAAATGGTACGCATTCTGTCAATTGTTTTTGATATGACAGATACAAAAAAAAATCTAAAACTGGATGAATAATATCGAATGTAGCCTGCCCACAGGGCAGAGTCTGGCAAACTCCCCGTGGCGTACCAAATATGCCAAATACCAGTAACAATGATGGGTCTCATTCTCCTAAAGAGCCGTGAATATAATCTCAGGGCTAGGATGAAAGAGACGTTACTGGGGCCTGCTCGAGGCAATCGGCGATTAACAGGATGATGAAATGAATGAAATGAATGAAATGGATGAATAATGGTTCTGAGACAGGAACTTCTATGTCAAATGTTAAAATGGTGATGACTCCAGTTTGACTTGAATTTAAAGTTTGTCTGAATCATAAGGATTATCTGGTTGAAGGATAATCAGTTGAAAGTGTACTCAGATCTCTATGAGATTCGTGCATATATTAGGAACAACAGGGTAACAAAATCAGAGACATGAAAATCAAACCAGAGCCATTTGGTAGATGTCAGTTTCCTGGGAATTTGGCAGGAAAGAAGATCATCCCTGAGAGAAGAATAATGTCTTACTCTGCTGATAAAATTAAGTAGGAAAGGGCCTGGAAATGGTACAGTGGGTAAGTTGTTTGCTCTGTATGCAGCCAGCCCAGATTCAATCCTAGCAAAGCATATGATTCCCTGACTACAGCCAGCAGTGACTTCTGAGCACAAAGCCAGTAGTAAACCCAAGGCACAACTGGGTTTGGCTCAAAATGCTAAAAGAAAACAAAATCTAGTGGGTGAGTATGTAGGCCCTGGACGAACCACTAATCTAAAATCCTACTTTGTATTTTAGGCTTTGTGATAATCAGATCGAGAGTTCAAGCTTGTGTTAAAGAAAACAAGCATCCACCAAAACAATGATTACTGAATTTTAGAAGTGGTAAGAGAACCTACAGCTTCCCAGAGAAGATGGAGTGGGGACGGGGAAAAAACATACTACACACAAAATTAGGGGGACCAAGACCCCTTTAGATCCCTCCACAGTTAAACTGGAAACTGGAAGAAAAAAGTGTGAAATTCTTGAAAAAGGCTTTCAAAATTCTGAGAGAAAAGAGTTTCCAATCTTGAATTCCATACTGACTTAAATCATCCATGAAGAAGGTAAGAGTAAAATAAAGACACTTCCAAACTTAAGTTAACAAAAACTTACAGGAATTTTTCCCAGAATGTATTAAAATCAAAGGCATAAATCAAGAAAGAAGAATAAAATTTCTATCATCTCTTCTTTTGGGAGCTAATTGATAACTCAGCTTTGGAGAAAGATGACAACCATGAGAGAAGGGAAATCCCTGCTTACCATAGAAGAGAAACGCTTTGGTCTTGGGATGATAGAGGTAACTTTTGTTGATGGTGAAGAAACAGGTATCTCCTCCGCACTGGCCTAACCTTCCGGTTTCTCCGGTCAGTGGGGACCACCAGAGCATAATGGGGTAGTTCTCGGCTTCCGATCTGGATCTCTTCTGCACTGTCCGTGCCTCCTTTTTCCGAAGTGAAGAGAGCTGAGTAGACACTTTTGCAGTATTTGAATGTCCACCTCGCAACTTGGAGCTTTTTAAATTCTTCCTTTCAAATTTTCCCAGTTCAACCACTACCTAAAAAGAGAAGACATGTTTTTTTTTTTTTAATTTGCGTTGCAGCAATATTTTTGACTGGTTTACAAGACTGTAGAGGAGTAGACACTCATGCATCTTCAAATCTAGGTTATTAGATAGATCCTGCCCACCACCACAGTTCACCGAACCAGCCACCCTTTCAGCCCTTCTTTTCTCTCACTGGATGACTCTAGCTCTGTGGTCAAAATGCAAAGGTTCGTTTTGCTTTGGATTTTCCCTTGCTTTGATTCTTTTTTCCCTTCCCCACTTTGATTCTTTATATCCCACATTTGAGTGAAATCATCTAGTATTTGTCTTTCTCCTTCTGACTAACATTGCTTAACATGACCCCCATGAAACCTTGCTATCATAAAGCAAAATTTATCTTTTTTTACAGCTGTGTAGTATTCCACCATATATATGTACCAGATCTTCTCTATCCACTCATCTGTTGTTCAGCACTTAGGTTGTTTCTAGATCTTGGCTACAATAATAACACTGTAATGAAAACAGTGGTGCTGTGTTCTTTGAAGAAATATCTAGAAGTGGAATTAGTGGATCATTTCATTTAGTTTAAAATATTAAAATATTGTTTAATATTTTGAGAAGTTTCTGTGTTGTTTTTCCATACAATATAGACCAATTTACATTCCCATCAACAGTGCCTGAGGATTCCTAATTCTCTACAACCTAACACTTTTGTTTCTGCCTTTTTTTAAATTTTACTTTATTTTGTTGGTTTGGGGGCCATAGTCAGTGGTACTCAAAGCTCATTCGTGGCTCTGCATTCAGGGATCACTCCTGGCCCAGGCCTGGGGGATCACATGGGGTGCTGGGGATTGAACTTGGGCTGGCCACGTGCAAATCAAGCCCCCTACCCACAGTTCTATTGCTCTGACCCCATTTCTGTCCTTTTTTGATTAGGTCAGCGTCACAGAGTGAAGTAATATCATTAAAGTTCTTGCTTGTTTTCTCCTGATAAGCACTGATAGACACATATTTCAAATGTGGGTATTGGCCATTTATATGTCTTCTTTGGTGAAGTATTTATTCAACTCTTCTCCTCATTTTTTGATGGATTATTTTTTCTTTTTGGGTCACACCCGGAGATGCACAGGGGTTACTCCTGGCTCTGCACTCAGGAATTACTCCTGGTGGTGCTCAGGGAACCACATGGGATGCTGAGATTCGAACCCAGGCAAATGCCCTACCCGCTGTGCTATTGCTCCAGCACCTGGATTTGGTTTTTCTTTTTTTTTTTGGTTATTGAATTGTGTCAGCTTAAATGTCTTGGACATTAGTCCTTTTCACCTGCATGGTATGCAGATATTTTTTCTAATCAGTTGAATGTCTTTTGTCTTTTCTTTGTAAATGATAGTGTCTTACCGTGGCGTACCCAATATGCCAAATACCAGTAACAATGAAGGGTCTCATTCTCCTAACTCTGAAAGAGCCTTGAATATGGCACTTTTTTAAAAAAAATCTCAGAGCTAGGATGAAGAGACGTTACTGGGGCCTGCTCGAGGCAATCGACGAATAACAGGATGGTTGTGATTGTGATTGTGAGTGTCTTTGGTTGTACAAAAGAACTGCAGATGTCGCTAGAAATGGAGTCTGGCTGGCGAAGGGCCAGTGGAGGGGCAGAGCGAGCAGTGGGGCCCCCTTGTCAGCTGCCTATGCTTTGGGAGGGCCAAAACGCTTGTCTCAAGTGCTTGCGAGTAGACAAGTAACAGCCAGTGGAGACCAAAACTGTTGGTGTGACTGGGCAAACACTCTTGACTGTTATCTCTCAGTACTGAGGGCTTGGATACTTGCTAAGGATGAGGGATAGCTCATCTCATCAAGGATTTGCCCTCATAGTCTAGTGAACTGGAGAGTGAATTCTAACCTGACATCTACCAACACAGCTATCAGTAAGGTTGTGAGAGGTCATCAAACAGTGTCTGTGGGGTAAATCTGACCCCAGTTTACTCTCTGTGGTTTCTTGTCTCCCATATTAATGCTTTAAGTATGGTGTTTGGAATTACTTGTACTGTGATAGGTTGGGTGCTGTTCAGACTCATGTATGCTATCGCTTTGGGTCTCTGACAAGGAAGTCTGTTGATGGAATTCTGGAGAGCTAGATCACAGGTTCTAATATTTTGTAGATTCACCTGAACTTGCTTCCCTTGGGGCCTCAATGCAGGGATTTCAAGGGTTTGTCTCCACTATGCTGAATCGATGGTTGGGGTCTTGTGTTCAACACAACCCACACTATCTTCCCCTGGATAAGTTCAATGCCTCAGAAGCCTCTTTCCAGATGTAACATGTAGTGTCCCCCTATTTTCTATCTGCCTGAGTACTTTTTTCTGTTCTCCCTCCCTTCTCTTTGTTGTTATTGTTGCTACTGCTGCTGTGATTTATGAGAGAACCAGGAGTTCACTCACATTAGCTGCAGTGCACCAGCAATTGATTGTACACATTGCTGAAGCGCCAAGGAGCCACAAGCGTGGAGCTGCTAAGATGGTTCTTGGGCATAAGGGGTGATGGTGGCCATTGAACTCTCGGCCTCACCTGCCTCATGCTAATAACCAATAAAGAATATGCAAATATCTTCTAGAGAGGGGTTCATATTTTTCACTCTTTCATTAGGTTTTTATGAGATTCAAGACCAATATATATAGGGCTGGAGAGATAGTATAGTGGATACGGCTATTGCCCTGCATATGCCCAGTGCATTCAATGCCCATTATCCCAAATGGTCCCCTGAGCACAACCAGGAGTAATTCCTAAGTGCAGAGCCAAGAGTAACACTTGGGCATTGCTAGGAGTGACCTCACCCCACACACACGAAAAAAAAGAGACTGAAATAAAAATTAAGAAGGACTGTGAAAGCCAAGAGAAGTAAAAATTTATACTAACTTTTAAAAACCATGGATCACCTATGACACAAAAGCATTAGGAGAGCAATATAATCACTGAAAACTAAAGAAAAGTCCAACTCTTGCCAATAGCTTCCTCAGCATTTTTATGGTAATAAAATAACATGACTGTTCTCAGTAGCTTGATGGAATAGTTGACTTGTAGCCACAAACTATCTTTTCCCGCAACCTTCCTCTGCAAATGTACAACAGACAATATTAAAGACATTTAGAATTAAATCAAAAGAACAGAATAAGCAAATGAAAGCCAACCTTCGCTTTCTGACCACAGAACTGAGGTGACTCAAGGAAGGAGGAAGGAGGTGAGAAAAAGGGATGGGGGCACAATGAGCTGTGTGGGAGGGATAATTAATGTGCTTCGGTGACGATGTGGTGCTAACATATATTTGATGAGGTGTGCAACTATGCCCTTTAGCACATACAGTATTGTAAACCAGCATTGCATCAATAAAAATAATAAATAAGAATTTCTAAGCCTTTTAGAAAAGAAGAAATGTAATTTTATAGACAAATTTTGTTCCACATTTCTAATCAATGTTTACTATGTGGGCTGGAGTGATAGCACAGTGGTAGGACATTTGCCTTGAGTGCAGCCAGCCCGGCTGAGCTGGGTTCGATTCCTTCACCCCTCTCGGAGAACCCAGCAAGCTACCGAGAGTATCTCGCCTGCACAGCAAAGCCTGGCAAGCTACCCGTGACGTATTCAATATGCCAAACACAGTAGCAACAAGTCTCACGATGGAGACGTTACTGGGCCCGCTCGAGCAAATTGATGAACAATGGAAGGACAGTGCAACAGTGCAGTTTACTATGTAAGATATCAATTCATTTTCCAAAAATAGGGATACTTTAGTGAGGTATTTTTATTTTCTGGCTTTTGGGTAACACCTGTGGTACTTCAAGGCTACTCAAGACTCTGCTTGGGAATGATAGTCAGCTGTGCTCAGGAGACCATATGCTCAGGGATCAAACCCAGATCTCCTTCATGAAAAGCTTGAGTGCACCCTTTTGAGCTGTAGTCAATCTTTTTTTTTTTTTTTGCTTTTTGGGTCACACCCTGTGATGCACAGGGGTTACTACTGGCTCTACACTCAGGAATTATTCCTGGAAGTGCTCAGGGGACCATATGGGATGCTGGGAATTGAACCCAGGACGGCCGCGTGCAAGGCAAAAGCCCTACCCGCTGTGCTATACAGCTCCAACTGCCGCTATAGTCAATCTTAAGGAGAGTTTTTCTGCCAAAGTGCTTTCAAGAAAAAATGACTAAGCCTAGATATCAGGTCATTATAATATAAGAGGTAGAAGAACACATTAAACAAAATCATAGAGTAACTCTGCTAAATCCAGAATATGGCCAATCCAAGATAACAAATGACCCAGTTTCTTTAAAAAAATTCATGAGATGAACTAACAGAGCAGAAGAAACTTTTATATAGCAGAGAAAATTAGAAACCCACAAAACTCGAGACATACACACCAAAGGCAATCTGTGGGATTTGATTATTCCAAATTCAGGAAAACACTTTCGGAAAGACTAACTTTTGAGATGACTGAGAAATTTTTAACTTGCCTTAAAATACATGAAGTACTAAATAATTGTTATTCTGTTTTCAGACATGCCAATAACAATGTAATTATTGAGATTTGTTTTAAGATATATAAAATGGGGTCTGGAGTCAGTACAGCAGGGAGGTGTTTGCCTTGCACACAGCTGACCCAGGTTCACTGCCCGGAATTCCATATTGTCTCTTGAGCACCACCAGGAGTAATTCCTGAGTGCAGAGCAGGAATAACCCCTGAGCATCGTTGGGTGTGACCCCAAAAGCAAAATAATATAAAATAAATAAAATACAGCAACTGAGGGAAGAAGAGCAAGCTCAATGGCTGAGCGCATGCTTTGCACATAGGAGGCCAAGATCTGATTCCCTGGTTACACAAGCTCTACCAGAGGCAATCCCTAAGCACACAGCTCTGGGTAGTCCTTGGGCACTTCCAAGTGTGGCCCCAAGCCAAAAATACTAATTAGAAAAGCCAAAATATATTCGTGAAGCATTTAGGAAGCTAAAATATCAAAATTCTGGAATAAATGAAGAGACAAACACACCCAAAAAACCCTGCAGATTCTCTATACAGTTAGGGAAGGCTCTTACCCAATATAGGTAGTGTCCTTATAAAACAGTTGTGATACATGGTGCAAAAGCCATGTGAAGACACAGGGATAAAACAAACCTCCATGGGGTGGGGGATGGGGAGTGGGCAAGATCAGCACCCACCCAAACAGAGCCCCCAGCAGCAGAAAACCTCCACACTCCACAATTCCCACCATACTCACGGCCAGACTCCACAGCTCAGGATGAGCGTCATCCAGAAATTAATCTGTTGAAAAACTCAAGTAAGTGGGTTTTGTAACTGAAATCTCCAGCTTTCACAGGACTGGGGAGAGGCTACCTCTCCCCCTCCCATCTCCCTGTAGTTCCGGAAGCCCCAGCAATCAGACTCACGTCCCAAAGCCATCACCCAATTAAAAATTTAACTCCAGGGGCTGGAGCGATAGCACAGCGGGTAAGGCGTTTGCCTTGCATGCAGCCAACATGGCCAACCCAGGTTCGATTCCCAGCATCCCATATGGTCCCCAGAGCACCGCCAGGAGTAATTCCTGAGTGCATGAGCCAGGAGTAACCCCTGAGCATCGCCGGATGTGACCCAAAAAGCAAAAAAAAAAAAATTAACTCCAGGTGTATCACCCTGTTAAAAAATTTGGAATTCCTGAAGCACACTGCTGCATTCATGGCCCTGTAACATCTCAAACTCCACAACACTGATAAACCAGGAATAGCACACCACATCGGATAAGATGCAAAGTAGAAGCCAACCAATCTCGATTAATAAAATATGAACACAGGCTTAGCCTGTAATAACATGTAATTAATCTCTTACACAAGGACTTAATGGCTTCATGGTGAGATAGAACAATCTGCACTGACTTTCTTCTAAGGAAATATATTTTGATCCTTTTTAGCAAATTATTTATAATAAGAAATACAAAATAAATTATTGCGGGCCTGCTATAGGGACAGTCTTAAAGGGTGGTTGGGAAGATTGGAAATAATGGTGGTGGGAGGATGCAATCGTGGTGGGATTGGTGTTGGAATACTGAATGTCTGTAACATCATATGAACAACTTTGTAAAAATAAATCGATAAAATGAAAAATAAATAATAATAAAGATAAAACAAACCTCCATGTGCCAAAAAGAGAGGTCTCTGAAGAAGCACACCCCACTGACACCCAGATTTTGTACATCAAGCATACAAAACTATGAGAAAATAAGTTTTATTGCTTAAATACCCATTCTGAGGGACACTGTTCTAAAGCCCCTAGCAAAGAAATACTGCACCCATCATATGAATATTGTTTTCTTATTATCCCACTATTATCCCACTAATGTGGTGAGATAGCATGGCATGGAAGGCACTTGCCTTGCACATGTCGACCAAGTGTTGATCCCTCACACCATATATGGTCCCTTGAGCGCTACAAATGTGATCCCTGAGCTAAGAATGATCCCAGAGCCGGGAATGATCCCTGAGAATCCCTGGGTGTGACCCAAAAATGAAATAAATAAAAACATTTTGTTTACTTGGCAATTTTTTTTCAACTGCCTTGCAGAGAAACCAGTCAAAACAGAAATGTTCAAAATTCAGAGCCATATATTTCCATTTAGGACTCTTTGCAAAATAACATTGCTGCACTTCTAAATATTGAAACACAATGCATCATCAGTGGAACTGGAAAACAGCCCAAGCCATACTCTGGGTGGCAAACTGAAAAGAAGATCCTCACAAAGGTTGATCCCTGGTAATCATACCACTTCTCATTCTTGGGAATCTTAGAGATAACATACATATAAAAAAAATTGGCGACTTATTCTGGCATCAAAAGAGGAAGTCTGTTAGCTAAGACATAGGCATTGCTCATAACCGAAAAATAGTAAATGTCTAATCAAGGACCTCCCATTGAGGCCCACAGATAAAGAAAACTCCAGCTCATCCTGTGCAAACAGGTCTTAGAGGCACTCAAGACAGATGTGGAAGGTGTCGAGCATTTCCTCTGATAAGAAACCTGATTTGAGCCAAAAGTAAGCCCTGAGCACTGCCAGGTGTGGCCCCCAAAACAAAATAAATAGATAAAGGTGATAGAAGGGCAGCACCAGATTGTTTGCCAAAGCGCTTTTACAAACATGATTTCATCCAATTCTAATCAAGAGGGAAGATCAATCCTACTGCATGAACAAAAGCCCTGAGCATACCTTTCTGTGCTTCAGCCCACCCCACATCCACAAATCACCTTTAAAAGACCTTGGCGTTGCACACCGGAAAGCTGCTACTTGAATGGATGCTAAGTGTAAGAACTCTTAGCCACAATTTTACTATCATGCTATCATTGTTACTTTCATTTGAAATCAGCTAATACTCTTGAACATAATCACAAACTGATCCTCTCTCATTGATATTGTTACTGCATAACATATCCGCTCATTAAATGTTTCATTTGTCTAGAATGCATATTCCCAGGGATGGAGGGATAGCACAGTGGGTAGGGTGCTTATTGCACATGGCTGACCTTGATTCAATCCGTATCCCATATGATCCCTGGGGCCCACCAGAAGAGATTCCTGGGTGCAGAGCCAAAAGTAAGCCCTGAGCACTGCCAGGTGTGGCCCCCAAACCAAAATAAATAAATAAATCAAATTAAATGCATATTTCTTCCCTCAACAAAGTCTTGGTCCGACAGATGAAGCAAAAAGGAAAGAAGTTGGAGCCTTTAGAGGCAGGAGTGGTGAAAAAGGCCCAAAGTCAAAATCCTACAACCCAAGTTCTTGGTACCTGAAGGGTGACGAGCAGAAATACAGTAGCAGCGAGGCAAAGGCAAGATGCCAACACCTTCCTCCTCTGAATGCACACCATGCTGCCCTGCTCCAGGTGAGTGACAGCCAGCTACCCTGGTGACTAGGTATCCTCCAGTCAGTCCATAGCCCGAGACAACTTCACACAGAGGTGCCATCTGAGTGCCAATTTCCTCCACGGCCATTCCTGCTGGGATCTGGTCTCCATGAAGCAGTGAGATCGGAACTTTTGAGTGATCCCAGCTTGGCATCAAGAGAGAACAGCATGTAGTCTTCGTAAGTTATCATCAGAGCAGCTGGAGATTCATCAGAGTGGCAGAAGGCATCAAAAAATTCTGTAACAAATGAAGAATCCTTTATCCATCGTGCAGGAGGTTTCAGAAATGGAGTTTTGTAGCTCTTTAACACTTTAAAACTAGAAGGGACCTTTGGAATAATGCAGTCCCAATCCCTCACACACCTAAAATAACAAGGTCAGAGAGGTAAACTGATTTTCCCAAGCACATTAGAAGAGTGACAGATCTACCGTCAAAGAACGGAGTCTAAGATTCTGTTCTCACCCAGTCTTCTCTGCCACTGAAAGACAGTTCCAGAAGTCATTTACATGTAGTATTTTCTTTATGTGTAGCTCTCAAAGGAGTAGAGGAGTAGAGATGGACTATCTACTCCTGAAACACTAATAGGGAAACAAAAGTGTAGTCATTCATCAAAAATGAATGATATTTGGAGAGATATTTGAGATTTGCCTTATACTCAGTAAATCCTAGTTTGGTCCCTGATACCACAGATAGTCCCATGAGCACTGCCAGAAGTGATTCCTGAGCACAAAGCCAGGAATAAACCCTGGGTACTTCCAGGTATGGCCCTAAAACTAAAACAAATATGCAAGGAATGATTTGGTCCAGAGAGATAGGGCATAGGAGCTCACTTTGCAAGTAGCTGACTTCACTTCAATTTTTGACACCACATATGATCCCCTAAGCATCACCAGGAGTGACTCAGAGCACAGAGCCAGGAGTAGACCCTAAGCACCACCAGGCATGGCTCAATCTCCATCCTCCCCGACCATAACCCAAAAGACATTCCAGTAGAATGCACAGTGTGGTTGTACAGAGCTCCTAGCATCCAACAGCGTCAGAGCTATGCAGCTATAGGATATATAATTAAAGAAACAATTAGAAATACCAAAATGATATAGAATTCTGGTTACAACCCTTGAGGTTAATGGGGTACCCCTTTCTCATAGGTCTACCTTGATTTACCTTAAAATCCAGGACAATTTTCCATTCCTCAACAAAAGAATCGTGGTGTCAGCAACCACTAAAACATTCACTGTTCCCTTATCTATTACACATTATCTATTCCCACATTGCACAGTGACTAAGAGAACAGGCCCTAGAGTGAGCCTAGTTTGCAAAAGTAAATAATAACAATGTCTAACCAGAGGAAACTAAGAAATGCTGTAAACATAACAAACTCTCAGTCTGGCTCATAAAAATAGCCCCAATAATTACCTTATTTTTCGCTATAAATATTTATCATGAAAAATAAAGTTGAATTCATATAAAAATGTATGCTGCTTCCTGATAACATGGATTTTTTTTGTTTAGTTTGGTACTCCTATTACTCTTGGATCTGCACATGGGGATGAATTCTGGCAGGCTGAGGGGACAATACTGGGTGCTGGGGAATGCACACAGGTCAGATGCACGCAAGGCAAGAGCCCTGTATGCTATATATCTCTCTGGTCCCTCAAGTGGAATTTAAATGAAAAAATACTTGGCCAAAGAAAAGGAGATAGCTAATATCTGTTGTGTCAAATGATCATATGTTAGCAGATGTTAGCAGACAGGAAGTCATTCAGCCCTCACACAACATCAAGAAGAAGCAGGTACTCTTCTTATCCTTTTATCCTTTTCTCCTTCTTTTTTAGGTTCCCAAATGATCATTGATATTCCTAGTGATTCTCGAGCAACTATACCATCAGTTTAATACAAGGCCCAAGGATGACGGGCTGCTTGGGTACTGCAGTGCTGGGGGGATTCTGGGGGTCTCCAGGGTTGTAGGCAGCAATATTCAGGGACCAAGCAGTGCCAGGCATCAAACTGAGATCAGCCACATGCAAAGCATGCATTTGAACTCCTGTACTCTCTCTCAGGCTCCTCTTCTCCTCTTTAAAGGGGAGAAAACTGAATTTGGAGGTCATATGTTGCCCAAGACTATAACTCGGATAATGGTCTTTAGCAATGCTAAGAATCAACCTGATGGCTTCAAATACGCACTACCACAGAACCACATTTCTGGCTCTAAGTTATTAAATCTTTCTAAGTCTGTTTCTTCTGTAGACATTAACTGTCACTATTTCCCCTCTGTTCATAACTGATACAACCAAATCTTCAGAACTGAGGGCAGGAGCAACGGTACAGCTGGTACAGTGTTTGCTTTACATACAGTTGAACCGGGTTTGCTCCCTGGCATCAAATATAGTCCCCTGAGCACCACCAGGAGTAATTCCTGAGTGCAGAGCCAGGAGTTACCCTGAGCATCACCATGTGTGGCCCCCAAACAACAAACAAATCATCAGGACTGAATAGATAGAACAGGGGATAAAGCATTTGCCTTGCACATGGGCACCCCAGGTTCAATTTCTGGCATTGCATGTTCCCCTAAATTGGACCAGAAGGGATCCCTGAGCACAGGGCTAGGAGTAAGCCCTGAGCATCACTGGGTGTGGCCCCAAAGTCAAAATAAATAAATAAAACTGGAAGATATTATTTTTTAAAAAAAACTGTGTGTCGCCTCATCCTCTCTCTCTCTCTCTTTCTCTCTCTCTCTCTCTCTCTCTCTCTCTCTCTCTGCTAGTGGGGAAAGGGGGAGGCAGAACACAGGACGCTGGGGAAAAGTTCCTCTGACCATCTCTTCTTTATTAACTCAAGGACTCACTGGATCAATAAGCAGCATTTTTTTTTCCAGTACCAGGGATCCAACCCAGGACCTCAAACAGAAGTATACGTTACACTAAATCTCATTCCCAGGCATCCGCTGCCCAAAGTCCTCTTTTAATTAAACTTATGGTTAAATCAGGGTCTTTAAAGGTCTTGTTTGGAGGACACTGGTGCTGGGAAACGTCCACTGGTGGAGGGATGGGTGTAGGAACACTGCATGGCTAAAACCTGATCATGAAGACCTTTGTAAGGGTCTATCTATCTCACAGTGATTCAGTAAACTAAATAAATTTCTTATTACCAAACATAGTTCTTCACACTCAATTGTAACCTCTCAGAGATGTTTGACTCTCCCAAGGTTTGCTTCCACATAAAAATGGTTAAATCTTCGGTACATCCTTTAAATGGTGGTTGTGTTGAGAAAGAAATGACAAGGCAGGCTGACGGGAACTCTAAGGTGCAAGCAAAAGTTGTTGTGTGGGTCGTCATCTGTGATACTGGGGCCTAATCGAACTCAAGACCCATCAGGGTCACATCCAACGGCTCTGGGGAAGGAACAGATTCCTCATGAGGGAACATAATTAGGGCTTGTTGGCACAAACTCAGCATGTGTTCTACCACCGATCCCCAAGCTCAGCCCCTCCACAGGCGGCACTTCATCTCAACTTATCAGTGCCTCATTCACCCTTCCACGTTTACTCCAAAGTAGCCATCACTGCTGTTCGTACCAGTTGCTTTCTTCACCCAGCTGTAGTTTCTAGAACATAGTCACACTGTAAATCTCTTTTCTAATTGGAATCAGAGATTTCAAGAAAAACCCCTAAAATCATTAGCTTAAGACACAATATAACCTACCTGACTTTTGAGCTACCTTTCCCTTCTCCAATTCACACACGATTATTCCTGATCTTACGACCCCAGAGCTCCTCGTGCCACCGACCTATATTGTCCACACCACACTCACTAACCACGCCATTCTCTAAGCCCTGCAAGACTTCCTGGTTTGGTAAACCTGACTCTCTCCAGAGGTCAACAAGGAGATGCTGTAAGTCTACAATCGTGTGTGCTTCTTCCTATCCGGACTCTGGAGAGAATGCAGGATACTGTGAGATTTCAGGGTATTTCCTAAATCTGCTTTATTGAGAGTATATGCAAATAGCTCAAAGACAATACTTTTGTATTGTCTATCCATTGGAGCATGTGGTAGAACACGTGCTCCAGTAGGTAGTGAGTGTGGTGTGGACAATATGAATGAGGATGCATGACGTACATCAACCTACCCCAGTTTTAGGTCCCCAGCATAGCCAGTATAGCTCTGGAGCCCCCTTGAACTGGAGGGTCACCATGAAGGCCGGAGCACTAGTGGGGAGACTCAGGTAATTATTGGCACTGTAAGGCCTGAGCACCACCTGGGCCTCTGCTATAAACCACTGGTCTGGCTGTTTAAGAGAATAGCTGGGAAGTTCAATCCCTGATATCTCATATGGTCCCCCGGGCACCACCAGGAGTAATTTCTGAGTGCAGAGCCAGGAGTAACCCCTGAGCATCACTGGGTGTGACCCAAAAAGTAAAAAAAAAAAAAAAAAAAGAATTTAAGAGAATAGCTGAGAGAGGCCCCAGGTCCCAAATGCAGGTCAGGATCTTGAAAATAAAAATAAATAAATAAACAAACATAAAGCAAGTAAAAGCAACGGTGGGACATCTAAACACTGACCTATTTGTCTAATTGGTAGAAGACTTCCCTAGTTGCCCTGCCTCTCACTTTCTTCAATGGACATCATAATTTGCTAGGCAGTTACTTTTAGATAAAGAATGTTCTGAGAACCAGCCACCACCATGCTGAGACCACTCTCCACACGCATGAAGGTACCGGCAGAGGAACAAAGGCATGCGGGTCCCGGGGTTGAGATCTCCAAGCCTGCTCGGATCGGGGCTTAGCATCCTCCACCCAGATCCTCCATATTCCAGTAGGCAGGGGTCACACCCACCAACAGGCCCCCTGGCGCCGTGTAATCCCATCAACGGCCAAGACCCAAAGACTATAAAACCCAGCTCCCAGAAGCGACATCTTATTATCTCATTCTTACTTTGGACAAACTGGCAGGCTACTGAATGTAACCTGCCCACACAGCAGAGTCTGACAAACTCCCCGTGGCGTACCCAATATGCCAAATACCAGTAACAATGATGGGTCTCATTCTCCTAACCCTGAAGGAGCCTTGAATATGACACTTTTTAAAAAATCTCAGGGCTAGGATGAAGGAGACGTTACTGGGCCTGCTTGAGGCAATCGATGAACAACAGGATGGTCGTGATCGTGATCGTTCTGAGTTGTGAATTTCAATCGGGGAAGTCGTTCTCTTCAATCAAGCACACTCCCCAAGACTAGG